TATATATTGTCAATATATAAAATCTCGAAAAACCCACTGATTAAAAAACAAAAAAAGAAAATATGGCATAAATATGAGTAGACATTTCACACACATACATAAAATCATTTGAATTGGTTTAGAAGCTCCTAAAATGTACTCATTAGCCTTTCAAATGAAACCTAAGCCCATTGCCCTTGAGTGAATTCCAATGCGGAGAACCTAAGGAACAAAGTAAACTGACCCGATATCTTTATGAAGGCAGGCTGACAGTGGGTTCCAACTGTTGACCTTTCACCTCGCAGCCTCATGCTTTAACCCCTGCGCCACCAGGGCATCTCCTCATGACCCTTTAAAGAAATGCCAATGAAAACCACCCAGGAAATGAAATTCCCAGTCTACAAAAACATATAGAATAGCCCCACTTTACCCAAAATACAGTTAGTAGCAACTGATGAGGATGTATAAAAACTGATTGATAGGAGGTCCTAAAATACCACTTTAGGACTACTGGAGTGATTAGAATAAAAAAGATATGATAGCAAGTATTGGCAAGAATGTGGAGAAGTTAGAGCCTTTATCCACTCACTGCTGGTAAAAACATAGTCTGCTACAGTCATTTTGGAAAACAGCCTTGTAGTTCCTAAAAGCTTAACCACAGGGTTACCATATGAGCTAGCAGCTCAGCTTCACTTCTTGGTACACGTACATATAAGAGAATTGAAAATAGGTATTCAAACAAAAATTTATATGAGAATTCATAGTAGTAACTATTATTCATAATAGCCCCAAAGTGAAATGACCCAAATGTCTATCAACTATTGATTGAATGGATGAACTATGGTATATCCATATAGTCGAGTAAGTATTCAGCCACAAAATGTTATGAAGTACTGATATGTACTACAACCTAGTTAAGGGTTAAAAACATTAGACTGAAAATAGCCAGACAAAAAAGGCCATATGTAAGTATTGTGTAATTCCGTTTATAGGGAATGTCTAGAATAGGCCATAGAAAGCAGGGGCAGTAAGCAGGTTAGTCTTGCCCTGAGTTGGAATCAGGGGGCAGAGGGGAGCAACGGCTTCACAGGTACAGGGGTTCTATTCTGGGGGGTGAAGAAAATGTTCTAAAATAGTGGTGAATGTTGTACAACCTTGTGGATTTACCAAGGAAAATTAATTGCACACTTTGAAATAGTTAAAATGATTCATGTTATGTGGATTTTACTGAAATGAAGACCACAGACTGCAATATGAAGTTGAAAACATTATGCTAAATGATAGCCAGTCATAAAAGACAACTTATCATGACTCAACTTTGTGGGGGGAGGTCAGATGCACAGGCATTTCACCCCCTGAGGGCGATCAGTTGCCAGACTGCACTGGGCCTGCTCCCTGCTGCTGGAGACAATGAGTTAAGTTTAGGACCATTAGCTTGGTTCCTGTAGGCAGAGTTTTTACCCT